CAACTCTACCACCAATCATCACTAATTTCAACGCTCAATGATCCCAAAATAACACCAAAAAATTTCCAATTAGATAGAGCGCAAAATAACAACAAAAATTCTCAATCTAATAGTCTCAAAATATTAACAAAAAATTCTCAATCAATGATCCCAACCTAACACCTAAAGCCTTCAACATATCAATCATATAGTGGCTCTGCTCTCAACTTCAAATTAATCCCAAATTCAATAGAAACAAGAATAGCAAAATTAGATCTGATGATGGCCATTTGTCGGTGGTGTCAGTTGAAGAACGGATGGAAGGAAAGGAAAAGGGAAACAAAAAAAGAAAAATCAACTGGCGGGCAAGGAGGAGAAATCGAGGTCCACTGCCTTCATGTAATTGGAGAGTGAAGACCCTCTTGGCTTGCTTGGAATACTGAGAGACAGATCGTCCTAATCAACTGCGATGGGGCTGAGACCTTCGAACGATTGGTGATGAAGATATAGATGAAAGAGCCGGTTTTGTTGCCTAAGAAACTAATGATTCAGAGAAGAAAGAGACTAAGCAATCCAAGTCTCCAAAAAAAGTTGCTGCTTAGATTTGGGTTCTTAATTTTACAGAAGAACACATGAAAAAGTCATGAGCCTAGATCGGCGGTGATAGAGATGCTGTTGAAAATGAAGATGGCAAGATGGTGATAGCGAGATGATGGCAGCAATGAAAGGGTGGTGTTGGCTGGATTGATGAGGCAAGAAAAAGAAAGAAAAATCAAAGGGGAAAGGGAAAACAGAAAAATGTTCTGAAAAAAAGGAAGAAATAAAAGCCCAGAACGTTTTGATATTTCCTTGAAGAAGATGATACTTCTTATAAAATTTCAAATGAGCCCCTTAGTTCTACCTTTGTTTCAAATGAAGGAATAAAGTTTTTAAAACTTTAATTGAGCCTTAAGTTAACCTTTGATTTAGTTTGGAAATAGGGTTAATATAGGAAATTTATATCTTTCCGTCAATTTGGATGATTTCTGTCCATTATCCAAAGAAGTCCAAAGTATAGGGAGGTTATGTGTGGGTTTTTAAATAATGAGGAAGTTTTGTGTACAATAGGTAAACCACAGGGGGGTTTTATGTATTTTACCCTATTAGTTTAGACAATTTTCTTTTAATACAAGTTTGAACATTAAAATTAAAAGGAAATGATATTTGAACAACTCTAAAATGTTAGGAAGGTACAAATTATAGTCGTAAATGTGACAATTATAGCAACTATTTTCATAATCACTATTTCTCCAGATTTTATTTATTTTTGTAGTTATCCTAGTAAGAAGTCACAATCTTCTCCACCTAATTCCAATTAGAAGGGCAACAAATGCATAGAACTACAACCATAACAATGCTAGACAACTAAAGCAAATATAGATGATATAGATGAAGTTAATGAAAGATTAATTTAGCAGAGACAGTGTGATTAATTTAGTACACGTGCACAAGTTTAAATTACTACACTCTTCTCCGCAAGTTTTATTATGGTCATTGAACAATTTATGGATTGCCGCCACTCTTCAAGTGTATAGATTGTTACATTCAATCGCATGAGAGTTCAAAAGATCAGGTGAATGTCTATAGGGGCTGGATGTGCCGCCTAACACATAGGGATAATGCAAGAGAATTATATAGAGTTTAGTTGTATTAACATAAAATTAATTGTTAACAATGGTCGATAACTTTTTAAATAGTAAAAAACATTGTAAATTTCTTACAGGGAAAGATAGTATAATTTTGTGCATATTTTATATGGTGTAAAGGACATGATCAATGGATAATAGGGATGTGATATTGTCTGAAGTATAAAAAATGAAAATTTGAGATCAGTATTGGTAGAGGTTGGTGCAAAACTTGGAAACAAAATCCAAGAGGAGAGGTACCAAGTAGTTAGCTAGTCTGACTGCATAATGAGTCACCACTTTTGACTCTAATCATTTGCTTCCTCATGGTTCATCTGTAGAGCTACTCTTTATCTTTTCTGGAAGTTGAATATCTTGATTGCGAAGGCAAAGATGAGTGTGAAAAGAGCAGCTGTTCCAACTATGATAAGTGCCACGAATCATCAGAAGTCATGGTTAAATCCAAAATAACTTCTGATGAAGTTTTCTACTGTTTGATTAGTGTCAAACATGTCTTTCTTTGATGTCTCCAAATTGTGAAGCAACTAAACCATACAATGTCCATGCCACAGGGCAAATGTAATAAACCACCTCCACCAGATTGGAATCCGCTGCTGAAAAGCAGTGAAAGAAATAAAAAAACATAGTTCATAGCTCAACCTGATGCCAGATTAAGGAAAAGAGTTTACTGGTTTCGGAATGATGAAACCTGAAAAAGAACTCCATATTGCATAAAACGAAGATGAAACAATAGCCGCAATGTTGTGGTTTGGAGTAATTGCAACTGTCATCTTCCCATAAACTGTGAAGTACAAGAAGGTAAAATACGTGAAAAAAAGTATCAAAAGAAATTGACAGCCATCCATGCAAACCCAATCATTGCATAAAACTAGAACTCCATATATTAAAGCTTAAACAAGAAAGTAAGGGAGCTCGATCGCGACCTGCTTTGACAAGGTAATAAAGCTATTCTTAGCATAAAAAGAATCTGACAAATACTGCAAAACTGCAATAGTACAGAAAGTGCTGAAAGGGATGTGATCAATGTTGGCAGTAAGACTGTAAAGAGTAATGAAACTGTTTAACTGAAACTTTTGTAAAAATGTTTGCAATTTGATCATCAGTCTTGGAATGAATTACTTCTTTTGGTTTCTTGAGCCAAACTTCAAATTCAGTACTAAATTTCTTAATGTATCCAAATGACTTCTTTGCAACTTGAAAGTGAAATTCCCATGCATAATAGATGAACCTGAATAAGAAATTTGCAATACAAAAAATGATTGTTATGAGAGACATAAAACAATTCTTCAAAATTTTGTATGGTTTTTCATCAACTTAGTCACCACCATCATCTTTGGGCAGCTTTTTGTGAATCTTCATAACATAATCTCCTTCGATTACCTCATCAATGATCTCCTCTTGAATTTTAGCAACATCTGAATTTTTTTGTTCACAGTACTGCACTTTAGAATTATCAATTTCTAACAAATTCAAAGAAAAATTATTGCCTATCATTTTCACTGAGAAAAACTCATTGTCAACTAGATCATATATACCACAAGTCTTATTTTTGAAGATGACAGAATAATTTTTCTCCGATAACTGCCCAACACTTAACAGATCTTGATTAATTTCAGGTACATACAAAAGATCAGAAATAATTTTGGTACCTAAACCATAATCAATAGCAACACTACCTTTGCCTTTCACCTCAATATAATCTCCATTTTCAATTCTGACTTTGGAGATTTGTGATTTGTCAACCTTTCTATATATAGATTCATCATATGCCAGGTGATGAGTGCAACCACTCTCTATTAGCCAAATTTCAGTATTGGAATTACTGCTTGCAAAACAAGTGGTCACAAAAAGTTGTTCCTTCTCTTGTTTATCAACCATCTAAGGTTGATGTCCTCTTTTTCCTTTATTTTTGCAAACTCTCTCTATATGTCCCATTTGCTTGCAAAACCTAAATTGAATGTTAGGCCTAAACAAACAATATATTGAAAAATGTGAGGTTTTTTTTTACAGTGTGCAAACAGAGGATTTTTGCCATTTTTCTTTTCATCTTTGGTATTTTTCTCGCTTGTTTCTATCAACTTGTTAAATTTGATCAGTATCTGTTACCTGAAAAGCACCTTCAACGAGTTCCTCAGTTCTTGTGGCTCGTCTTTGTTCTGGTGCCTTTAAAGCATTGGCCAATTCTGCCAAGGTCATTTGAGAGATATCCTTAGATTTTCAAGATAAGAAATCTTGGCTTCAAACCTCTCTGGTAAATTCACCAAGACTTTCTCCACAACTCTGCTATCTAGAATTTGTTTTCTAATTAATCTGATTTTGTGTACAACATTTAAGGGTCTGTTAGAGTACTCTTTAATGTTTTCTATGTCTTTTATCCTAAGGAATTCAAATTCTCTCCTAAGGTTCAAAACTTGCATTTGTTTTGTTCTATCATTGCCTTGGTAAGCTACTTTGAGAGCATCCTGAGCATCCTTTGCAGTCTCACAAGTTATAATTTTTGTGAATACTGCATTGAAAATTGTTGAATGAATGCACATCATTGCTTTTGATCTCCTTTTGATCTCACAATTGTTGAATCTTTCGTCAGTTCAGGAACAGAATCTGTCTCTACCATATCTCAAAGATCACTAGCCATCAAGTAAGACTTCATTTTACGGCCCAAATTTGGTAGTTGTCACCGGTGAATTTGAAAGATTAGACAAAAAATTGTTTCATGACATTTTGTTGTTGAAGGTTTAAGTGTATAATTTGATACTACAAAGGGGATCCTTACCACATTCACTCACTATAAAAAAAAGACTTAGGCCCTTACGATATAGGTTATAATACCACTTTGTTGGTTTTTTAAGATATAAGCTTAGCAACAACACCTTAGTGTTGCAAAAAATTAGCTTATAAAATACTTATATTAAGTTGGAAAATGAGCTTGTATTATTCATTTATCAACTCACTATTGATAGTGTTTACAAAGAAACAAACTAACACAATTTCAGCTAACAATTCTCTAAAAAAATCTCAACAAAAAGCTACTTGATAACATGAGCTTCTACGTAACAAATCTTAGCTAAAATATTTGTTAACAAATCAATATGATTTTTTTGGTTAACAAATATCTTGACAAGACTTTTTTTTCTACTAACTAAATTATTCTGGTATCAAATACAATCTAGTAAAATCTATAAAAAAATTTGGCATATCTCAACATTAGAACTCATAAAAAATTTGACTTCCATAGTTGCAAAAATATTGAGGATTTTCCAGAGATGGCAAATCAATTTTTTCCCAAAAAAACCATTTCTTCTTAAATTTATACAAATCCACATTTGTCGCTTTATTTCCTGCTCGGTGAATTTTGCAAATTTGAAATTTTGAGGATACAATAATATATAACAAGAAGCAGCCCTTTAAATCGGCTGAGAGGAAGTTGATTTTTACAGAGCTACCAGCACTTCCTATTCTCTATACACTGCAGATCATTTTGCTCTCAAGTATATCTATCTGGAGTAGACTGTAGATTATCTTTTCTGGAAGTTAAACATCTTGATTGACAAGGCAAAGATGAAGGTGAAACTGGTTGCAAATGCAACTATTATGAGGGCCGCAAATCCCAGGAAATCATGCTTAAACCCAAAATAACTTCTTATGAAGTCTTTGACTGTTTGATTCGTGTCAATCATCTCTTCCTTTATGTCTCCAAACTGTGAAGCAACTAAACCATACAATGTCCAAGCAACAGGGGAGATGTAATAATACCACCTCCACCAAACTGGAATTCTCTGTCAAGAACCAGAGAAAAGAACATGTAAAGTTGTTGCACTTTATTTATGATAACTATCTGTCTCAACCAGCAGCTAGTGTGGACAAGAACTTACCGGCTTTGGAACAATGAATCCTGAAAAAAGGTTCCATATTGAGTAAAATGAGGATGAAACTATGGCAGCAATGTTTTGGTTTGGTGTAACTGCCACTGTCATCATCCCATAAGCTGTGAAGTACCATAAGGTAAAATACATGAAGAATAAGTACCAAAAGAACTTGGCAGCAGTCCATTCGAATCCGATCATTGCATATACTAGGACTCCATAGATGGCTGTCTGAACCAGAAGGTAAGGAAGCTCGACAACAACCTAATGTGGCAAATTAAGGAGTTTCTTTAGTTTCCAAAGGATATTACATTTATTGGCGTCAAAGTAGAATTTCATAGGAAAGGAACATGTAGATGAACATGTTAATGGATAAGAAGAGGGGATGCTATAGAATGTGTTTAGCATCTTCCCATCATCATGCTCTAGTTTGGCTTCCGAAATTGATTGTGTATAGTATATACCTGTCCAAAAGCATATGCTAAAGCTGCATACATTCCGGCCGCTCTTTCCCTGTAGAATACTGTCCTCTCTATGGCAACAACAGGCTGAACTGACGTTGCATTTTGTATACCCATAAATAAAACAGCAGAATACATAGAACCCATGGCGTTAAGTAGATCCTGAAGCCTTTCCCTGAGATCAAATGCAAGAAACTGATTCACGGAGGGACTAAATGGCAGGAAATGCAAGTTAGAGAGTACTTGAGTATTCATTTTATTCTTTAGTTTATCATCTATTTACCTTTTGGAGCCGAGCTTCCAGTATATTGTTCCAAACATCAAAGCTATAATTGTTGTAAACAACAGTCTTACTGCAGTATAATGTGGGTTTCGCCAATAGGACAAGTGCTGTTTCCATAAGCAAGCCATGAACTGGATGAAGAATGGCTGAGAGTAACGAGTGCGAAAGTACAACTCTTTGGAGCCTGGAGCAGGTGTGCTTAGTTCTTTGATTAGTGCTTTGTTTCTCCTGAATTTTGGCCAGAACGTTGATTAAGTAATGATTGGAGACATCCATGTTATTGCAACTGACAAGTTGATAATCTTCTAAAATTCTGTGTTTAGTTTTATGATTTTCTTTTCAGGTAACTGAGATTGTGAGAGATCTGCAGCTAATATAACCACTCAGTAACATCTATCATTCTGTCAAAAATAATGTAGGAGTTTGAAGCAGCAATTATGTGCAAATTTAGTACTAACTAGAATTTCAGATGTGACAAAAGATTGTACCTATAAAGTTCTGAGCCTTTATATATTTGTGGGAAATTAACTCCAAGAGCTGCTTCTTGTGCAATTGAAGACACTTCCAACATCCAAGTTGCAGGATTGTAACCATCTCTAATTTTGTCTATTCCATCAACGGCCTGGGCGAAGAAGAAAAGGAAAACAAGAAAAAGAGAGTTTTCTTTGTCAAGAATTAGCACTTCTGGAAAAGCTCCAACCAATTAAAACTAGATGAAACCATACCTCAAAGTACCGTATGAGATCTACACAATGGCGGCCCAAGGGACCAACAAATATCTCTTCGCCTCCACGTTTTAAAAGAACCAGCTGCAGTCAAAATTAGCAAGTACTTTGTTTTAGTTTCAAAGCTGAGACATCCATTTAGTTTAGACTAAAGAACGACCATTCACCTCATCAAAAGCATCAAATATATCAATGCTTGGTTGATGGATGGTGCAGACTACTGTTCGACCTGTATCCACTGTGTTTCTCACTGTTCTCATAACTATGGCAGCAGCCCTGGCATCAAGTCCAGAGGTCGGTTCATCCATGAATATAATTGAGGGATTAGCTACAAGCTCAACTGCAATTGTCAGCCTCTTGCGCTGCTCAGTTGAAAGTCCATTCACTCCAGGCAATCCAACAAGTGCCTCTTTCAATGAGGTAAGCTCGACAAGTTCCATAACTTCTTCAACGAACATCTAGAGTATATAAAATTCATAAGTCAGATATTAGCCATTGGAGAAGAAGATAACCTATATATTTTTTTGTCCACCTGTATCACTTATCTAAAATTCACCTTTCTGGTTGCAGCATCCGCTTCAGCGGGCAGCCGAAGCCAAGCAGAATACTGCAAAGACTCGTATACGGTTACATGAGGTGAATGAATATCATTTTGTTCGCAGTATCCTGCTATACGGGCAAAAGTGTCTTGCTTCTTTGGGTACCCTGATATGGTGATTGTTCCTTCAATATAACCACCTGTTTTTCTACCAGCCAAGACATCCATCAGAGTTGTCTTACCAGCCCCGCTAACGCCCATCAGAGCTGTCAAGACCCCTGGCCTAAAAGAGCCACTCACACCTTTTAAAAGTTCAAGTCTGTCCTCAGTAAGTCCTTGTGCTTTCATTTCCTGAAAGCATATCTATATTCTCAGATTTCACGAAACATACAGACTGGTGTTCACCAGGATCATAACCAATTAGATATCATTGACACCAAAGGCATCCAAAACAGAGGAGCAGGATTACTAAGTCTGAATTTAGCCTGGACCTTACAAATAGAAAGAAACTAAATTCACATTAAGAAGATAAAAGGGTTTTTGTTGGAATACTGGAGATGAACATCTCTCAAATCACCAAGCAGACAATCTGTCGAAACACATGTAGAAGTACCATCACAATTACTACGCAGACCAGCAAAATGTTAGGGTAATCACTATTCTCAACTAACCTGTGGCATGTCTACCGAATATCTTATGTCGTCAAAAGTGATTGCAAAAGGCTCAAATGGTAGGACCATCCCTGGTTTTCGTTCTGGCTCATCTTCACTAATGCTGGCCACTCTAGATGACATAGATCGCGATGATACATTTCTCCGGGCATCATCTTCACTTTCTGCATAATTTGGAATGCAACATAAGAGCAATCATTCAAACTTAAAAGATAAGTTTACAAAGGTGGATAGCCCACCGGATAAGCGCTTCCCACTTGATAAGTCAACAATCTCACCTGTCTTGATCGAGCTCCTCTCTGCCAAAGTTTCTTCAGATAAAACTGCCTGGGCCTTCTCAAGTGCTGCACCAAGTTTACCCATGATTAGAGGTGCCAGACTGGTTTACCATTTGAGAACAATCCAAAAGATGAATCATTTTGAAACTTACGTTCCAGGAAAGTTAAAGCCAAAGTATATAAGATATTGAACAGAAGTATATATCCAAACAGAGCAGCAGCTCCAATCCAGTACCAGCGGGCCTCCACAAAAATGCCTCGAGCCTTCAAAACTGAAACTCCTAAGGGTTTTCTTGATCCAGAAGACAACTGCAACACAAACATGAAAGAGCAGTTAGCAATATGCTACCTGAAGTCTTGAATTTGTTTGATTACATTGTATTATATTGTCTTTCCTGTTATAGAAAAATAGAACACGTACATGTCTCCAACTATTCCCCAGGAACTCGTTAACAGAAATAGCATTCTCTGCATACGTCATAGGGGAAATCCAGTATCCCCAAATCCACCATTTTTTAATTTTATCTGAAAGAAGAAGCATGGAATCAACTGGAGTAATTGCAGAAAGAAAGGGTAGAGCCCTAACGTATGAAAAAACACTACATCTTGTTTAAGGTTCACACTGTTTTACCATGAGACAAAACATATCCCCCCAATGCTAGAAATGCGACCAATACAAATGATCCAAATGTGTTTGCAATGACCATATTCCTTCCCAATGCCGCCATAAGGCGAAATAGCCCTGACGCCATCTGGCCAACAAATATGAGCAGAAGGTACTGTCTGAAAAACCTGTATCACAGATATCTTTGAGTTTAAGAAGCTGAGATTCTTAGGACTAGTATTCATTTGATAGATTACCTTCCAACATTTGAATCATATCCAGTTACATAGTATGTCATAGCAACCCAAACTCCACTCTCTAACAGCGTGAATGGGATCTTCAGTATCCATGTAGGCAGCGCATATGCCCATGCAGGGAAGAAGAGAAGGTCGCGTTGTTTGTAAAAGACAGGAAGCTTCAAAATCGTAAAAGCAAGCTCTGCGAATCCATTGAACATGATCATGACTGTTGTGAAAAACAGAGCCCCCATGAAAATCTGACCATCAGTTGTAGTTTCCTTGTGCATCTTAGTTCGCAGAAACACTGTCATTGTTATCAGAGCCATCAAGAATATCTGCATCATGACGAGTAACTAGGTAATTTAATTGACAGCATGAAAGACTTCTTATACTGTGTTTAGCAACTAAAAAGCTTTTAACTTTTTCACACAGCAGGTAGCCAACTATATGAGCTCAACCTGGGACATTTGACTCACTTTTATCAATTGAAATGCATAGACAAATGAGTTCCTTTTCATAAGAAGAAATTCTCTCGAAATGCAAGCTTTCAGAAGTTCCTTTTTGCTAACGCCAAACTTCTCTGTGGTTAATGCAGCAGGATGACTCTTGGATTTGTCAAAAGGAACAGCAAGCTCAGCTCCTAGATTCCTTCCAACATGAAATGATTGAAATGCTTCAGAAAAATTCTTGACAGAAACATAAGTATAAGGTTCATCTCTATATGCCCAGTACTGCTCTTGATCTTTATTTGATGTCACCTACAGTTTACAACAGTATAATGACTCAATGGAACTTCCAAGATGTACTGAAAGAGTTCAAAAGGTTCATAAAAGGAGAAAATGAACATGATTCTAGATTTACTTCTTGTAAGAAGTCAGCAACTCCTTTTCTTTCGGGACATTTGAAACCCATGGATTCAAAGAATTCCAACACATATTCTCGTGGACCTTGATACACAATATGACCATCAGCAAGAAGAATTATGTCATCGAATAGATCAAAAGTTTCTGGTGCCGGTTGCAATAGTGATATAACAGCAGTTCCATGAAGGATATGGATTGAGTGCTTAATTGAATTAACAATCTGAAAGGTTGTCGAACTGTCCAGACCAGTTGATATCTCATCCATAAGAAATACTCTTGCTGGCCCAACCATCATCTCCCCTGCAAATATTTGGTTGTACCGATTTCAACAGGGAATTTCCAATAAAACCTTTTTGTCTATTGTGGGGGTGGGGTGGAAAGAAATACAATTAAGAGAAAGTAAGATAACTAGAATTAGCTAATAATTATCACAATTCACAAGGATCAGACATCACTATGTTCTTACCTGTTGTTACCCGCTTTTTCTGTCCTCCAGAAATCCCACGTATCATTTCATCCCCAACCATGGTATCAGCACAGAACTCCAGTCCTAAAATCTGCAGAAAATAGATAGAATAGCAGATAGTTAGATACACATATTCCTGCTCCTGAAGGCAGACTAACAGTTTCCGGTAATTTCTCCTCTCACCTTGATTATGTAATCTGTTACAACACTTGTCTCCTGTCCTTCAAGCACCAGGGCCTGCAGATTGATACTATTAGGGGACTTTCTGCTAATTGAAGACAATAATTATCCAATGTATTCTGTCGCTAAAAGCAACTCCATGACTAAAGCCAAGGGGTTTAGACTAAGGTATTTTCACCTTCAAAAAAGTATCAAGATCAGAGTCTGGCTTAATGTTTGCTTCCTTCTCTCTCCTTGATATTTCCACCAGCATATCTGGAAAAATGGAAATCCTATTATGACAAGATTTAGAAATGCTCATAACATGTCAAAGAATTAACTGAAAATTTCACTGACCATGACGAGATCCAACGCCTTGACATCTTGCTGAAAAAGCTAGTGTTTCTCTCACTGTAAGTTCACCCAAATGAAGATCATGTTGACTAATATAAGCTGATGCCCTTTCGGGTACAAATTCTTTCATCTCATGGCCATTGTATGTAACATTCCCAGAAACCTATTTCATCAGTTAATATGCATTTAGATACCAGCTAAAACTTTGTATCAACAAATAGACAATCAAAGGAAACCATATCCTTACTTTAAGATCAGAAGGAAGTCTTCCAGCCAATGCTAACAGCATGGTGGTTTTACCGGAACTTGGTGGTCCTAAAAGTAGCGTTAGTCTGCAAAACTAACTAAAGTAAATATGAAGCAGGATCTGAGAAAGAAATAACCATTCACGGTTATTAATTTATGCTCACCTTCCAGGCTTGAGATTTCCGCTGACATCATGAAGAATTGGAAATGGTCTCTTCTTATTTGGAAGAATATGAAGAGAGCTCAAGAAACCCTTCGAAAAGGAAGATGTGGGAAAGAGAAGAATTAAGATCACAAGGAAAATCTGTACTCTGAGTTGTGACATGAAATAGGTAAATTACAGTTAGGTCTATTGAACTTTAGAGGGAGCAACAACTCTGCTCCAGGAACTGCATTGTGAGATGTTTCAAGACAATTGTGCTCAAAATTATGCCACCTTTCCTTTTAGTTCTTTTTTTTTTCTACCCCTTTTGTTTCTTCATTTTCCTTCTTCCAACTTACAGAGCACCACTTTCCTCAAGTGCCCTTCCTTTTCTGTCATACTCCACAATATCCTGTTTTACCAACTCAAGAAATGCATAACTGGTCTGTAATCCCTAGCTCGCTGTCCCCCAGTGCCCCCCAACAGAGGAAGGGATACAGGGTGGTGATGAAGACAGGAAAGGAATGATGAACAAGGTAAAGAAACAAAAGGCAGGGCTAGGGTACACAGACCAAAAACTATAAGCCTACTTTTGATCACATATGTATCCTAAATTATCAAGATAAGAATTATATTTGATAAAAAAGTCTACAATCCAACTGTTGCTCCCTCAAGGGGGTAGAGAGCTATCCAGACATTGAACATAATAGCAGTCTTGCTGACTCCCAATTACTTTCTATCTGCATATATAACTCATGAATATCCACGAACATATGCTAGAATACATATATGATCCTTAAAGATTGCTTAAAGATTGATTACCTCTAGTATGTTGAAGGTGAAGTTGAATATTGTTGGCAATGCCCTACTGCCAACATAAGCCTGTGCTTCAACATTCAAATGCTCAAATCGGACTTCAATTGTGGGAAACTCAATGCCAACTCTAGTTCAATAGGTAAAAGAAAGAAAAGGAAATATTAATACAAGATAAGGAACAAATTCATCTTCAAGGTACTCTTCTGAAAGGGAAACCAGGTACAAGGTAAACCAAAAAAAAAAGGAAGGTAAGGAGAATCCACAAATTTGTTGAAGTTACCTTGCAATGCGTTCCTTGAGCTTCAATAGGAACACCTCGTTATCATCCTCTTCGTTCATTATTCGATTCACAATGTATTTCCTCTCAGCTGGTTTTAGATGTTTGACATCAATCTCACTTGTCTGGCCTTCTTCTTGAGTAAGGATACCTCTTCTTATGCGAAGATAAGTGGGAAGCCTCTCTATAGAAGCCCATTTTAATGCTTCTTCGTCGTCTTCTTCGCGAGTAGACTTTGAAAAGATTTCGACTGCAGTGTTGCTCCATATGTTGGAATTACTCGACCGCAGACTGCTAAGTCTGTAAGCATGAGAACTCTCCATTTTCACTCACCAAAGAAACAGAATGTTTCCTCAAGAACTGAACTTTTGTAGCTTATGTACCTATCTTCTTCACCATTTATCTGGCTTTAGAGTTGGAGGGACTTTTGATTCTGCTTAATCTAGTAAGGCTTTTATAGCATTTTAAGTACAAATTTAAAAATGGTATCCACATCAAAGTTAGTTGACAAATGTGAGGAATGACTTATTGACAACCCTGAGCATTAACTTCTTAAATATGCCTCAAATAATTCACATACTCCAGCCAGAAGTTAGTCAACTAAACAATGAAACCTCCTTTTCATTTATCCATTTTTTTAGTTTTTTGAAACACAATTGTAGTGGCTTACGAATGAGAATCTAACATCATACATTGACCAATGATAAAATATTTCATGTTGCAAATCACGAGTTGGATTTTCCTTAAATATTTCATGTTGAAAATCCCAAAATGACAAAATGAAGCATTGGATCATGTTCAGATGTCCCTTGTATGAGGGCAGCAAAGCTTTGCAGCAAGTGCTCAACTCATGCTAAGTTAAAACAAAAGAGATAGCTAAATTTCTGACTACTGCAACTCAAACATCATAGTTTACCAAAAGAATCAAACTTGCCTGTTTGCCTAACCAAAGGAACCATAGGCACACTACTCGAAAGAATGATGATTTTACCACTTCGGTTATTCCCCCCTCTCTCTCAATTTTAGCATCACTTAAATAGTTCACTTTCAAATGATGAGTCCGGTTTTATACTACATGTTCTTACTCGTTGTAGTTAATGTCCAACTTTTGTTTTGCCTACAATGCATCTTAGTACGAAAAGATAATTACTACTACATTCTGTCAAAAAAAAAAAGCCAATTTGCATAGCCAAGTTTTGTCACTTTCGTTTGCAATTTAACAATTTTCTTTTTGTACAAATTTGCTACTTAACATGTATGGACGTAAAAGATATCCAAGTAAAATCTCCACATTGCAATGAATCCTTCTAAGTTTTTTTTTCCCCAAAACCACCTAGAAGTGGTGGGATGTTTATTAAAACACTTGCAAAGAGTTCATGATAGAGGAGGATACACCTCCTGATTTTGACTAAATAAGCTCAACATGCTCCACATAGCAATGAAGTTGTATCCATGTAAATTTGATAAATTAATCTAAAATCTTGCTACCTTTTCCTCTTTCTTTCCCTAATAATAGTTCAAGATTACAATAAACTCAAACCAAATTGCTGGGATCAACACAAAGCATTATATTTGACCAGCATCACAATTAACCTACATGAATGATAGGAAGAATAGACCACATATATTGGTAGAAATATTAATATGTTCTTCCTTATGCGCAATAAGCCAATATTAATATTAATTAAAGGTGACTCCTGACCCGTTGGGCTAACTAGCTAGTTAATGCTGTTACATGTTAAGTTGGTAATTAAAGACTGTAGACTATTGAGTTGCATGGCCAAGCCTAGCAATGATAATACATTTATACAAAGTCATAGATTTGAATACAATATGATCGTCCTCTAAGTTTTGACAAATACAGCAATTGAGGACTTTCCTTTAACCTCCTTGAGATGACTTTGATATTCTCCAAGAACCATCTCATACCGCATTAAATATGGTTTTGCCAAAAAAAATTAATAATGATAATAATTTTTTACAAAAATGATAACTGGTTATCTGGATCCTACGTCTTTTGAATAATGCTAGTACCATAATTGTGATTGACAACGTTAACAGTTCTTTTCTTTTACGATGTGGGGGTGGGGAGGGGGGGGGGTGGTTAGCTTGTTCTGAACTAAGGTGGTCTTTGCAACAGGATGTGAAAGTTAACAAATATTAATGACCTTACCCATGAAACCAATAAATGAAATTTTTAGTAAAAATAGATCAATTTCCACCGTCATATTATGCTCCACCAAAAATTTTCAGATTTTCGAGCACGATAATCTCGCTTCAAGTCAACCCGCATGAAAAAAAAAAAGGAAAAGAAAGAATGAAAGAAAGAAGAAAGGAAAAGGATAACAATTTGGAGAAGTGATGGCTCCACTTTTAACCAATTTTCTCATCATGCTTGAGTCCAATAAATTGCACTCTATGCAGGGCGTTAGGCAGTGACAAAATGAAAATTCACAGCCAGTTTGACCAAATACAGTTCAAGTATGTGAAAGGGTTCTAGATTTTTGTCTTTGAGTAAATGTCAATGAGTAACAGTACATAAAATACTATATAGGGCCGGTTCATTGTTCCTCCCATGGAGTAGGCGTTCATTTGTGATTCTCCCCCTTGTCACTTAAGAAATTCAATTTCATGATTATGATTTCAAGCAGCCCTCAGAATCCAATATCATTGGATATTAGGTTCCATCCCAACCAAGTGTTACCAACAAATCGGGCATAAAAAATGGCGGCTCTGCTGCTATGAGAAATATTTATTCATAGAATGGTACAATATAGACTATAAAACTAGCATGGTGGCTAAGAGCAATCTATGTATGTAGCTCAGGGATAATACGTTTGAGCTTACCTCATCTTTAAGGTCAACTCTTGATTCCTTGTTCCATTCAGTTTTCTTGCATTTGACTATGTATTTAATTCTTCAAGAGTGGACCAGATGACTGAAATATATTGAAGTTAATGACCGAAGAGATTTCTATGATTCAGATTATGAATTTAATTGAAAGATCATTATCACAAACCAAGGTAACAGAGACCAGAAATCGCACCTTATTTTTTTTTTTGACTTACACAATAACTTGTTCGTGTAGTCTTGGGAAGGCAGGCAAAGAACTAGAAAATAACAAATTAAGACAAATTTTTGCCATTCCAAATCTCTTGTTTATCCAAAAAGTTCTGTTTAGATATAGATTATAGACTATGCATTAAAGAATTAAAAAATGTTGTGTTATAACTTAATATGCTACAAAGACAAGTTGTTGATTAACAGCAAAGGCCTTAAAAGGATTAATTCAGTGAGATAATGTCCTGTTCTTTTATCAGATTGCTTTAAACTTCTAGATAACTTCACTTGTAGCCTTATATTTCTATCTCTACCTTTATTAGTCATGCCATATATTTCAAACTCTCTTAGGGTTAGGGCCCTTATTTTCTCTGTTTTTTTTAGGGTTTAGGGTTTAGATACATAGATTACCAGGAGACCGGAAAACATTATAACGTATAGTATGGGTAGGTTTAGGATTTAGATACATAGATTAGATGGTGCCTAGAGATGACTTTGAAAACATGGACTAATAGGTTAACTTTTCTTATATTGATGGTGTAAATAATTCTTGCAAGAGTGAGACTAAATTTATATGATGTATGTGCAGAATGGAGATTTTAATTGTAGATAAAAAAAAAATTCATCGTGAATCTAGATCGCTGCGTAAATAATTTGTTACGCTGTCATTGCAGAAAAACAGTAACTCATTAGCTAGTATGGACAAGTCTCTATTGACTGCTGAACCATTTGTTTTTTCTCCTTTCCCTTTATAAAACTTGGAATCTCCTCTAAGAGCAACGAAACAAAAAACAATAACTCATTAGTTGTTGCTGTGAGAGGTGCTTCCTATATTCAAATTCATCTGCATTTGGCATCTAATGGACAAAAGGGTATGACTAAAGCAAAGTAAGATAGAAACAGAGCTTTGCTGTTCTCTAACATTAGGTAAAAATCTATTGGATGACTTGTGTTGGGAGAGTTTCTTCCTTTTTTAAGATCTTCCTTCCGGCCAAACTATATATAATTACTGTAGTATTTTTTATGATGTGATTGATAGGTTGCGATTTTATCATTTATTTTATTATTAATTTCTCCTATTACCTGACCCAATCTGGATTAATTGTGGGATTCTACTCACTTTTAGTATTTTACATATATTTCAGGGAGTAGAACGGAAATATAATAACAGGTGCTAATTTGGCAGAAAAAGAGTCCAGATGATAGAGCTTATCCTAGGGGCATTTTTGGAACAACAAAACATGAGCCCTTGTTGGGCAAATTGGGCCGAAGTCTTCATTTTTTCGCACAGGAGCCGCCGCAAGGAGCACTACTTTATATAGGAAAATTGCGCAGGAAAAAAGGGAGCTTCTTCTTCCTCTCCGGAAGGGGAGCCGCCGCACAACAGGAAGAGCTTTTGGTCTCTAGTTTTTCTTAGCCGCAGTTGTTGACTCTTCCCTTGGATTTATTCTCTTTGGCTTAAGAAACTTACGAATGTCAGTAGCTTAGCCATCCTTGGCTTTGACTTTTTCCTTCTTTAGTTACTTTTAGTAGTTTTTCTTTTCCTTTGTGCGTGGAACGGAGTGGAAGCCGTGAATGGCCTTTTGTAGCTTTTCTATGTATTCAGTATTCGGACGAATTGGATTTTCCAAATTTAGACGGATGATGGCCACGATTTCCTTTGCAATTTTGTACGGGGTTTTCCCATCAACAATGAGCTAAAGCCATTTTCTCTAGTCAAGGGACAACGGATGCTTTGAATCATCTAAAATTGTGAGATCGATTTAATTTTATCTTTTCCTCTTATTTATTGGTATTTGTATATTCCCTGATTGCAGTGCTTATGGTTGTTTAATTAATTGATTGTCTTGGATCCGGATGATTAGTTAATTTAATAATCTATTGTCAATTGAGGTGTTAAATCCGTAATTGTTTAATTGTCTCAAAATAGTGACAACTGGCACGATTGGATTCGTGTCAGGGGAATACGCGGGCTAATCTAAAATAACCCTGGTAGTGCGTTATTTGATTAGAATAGGGCTCCTCTAATACGTAAGGCAATTGGGGAATTAATTTCTATGGGCGTACCTAGGATTATTTCTCAATTAGAGCAGTGATTAACGGGCGTACCTTGATCACCGACACAGTAAGGAGGGGTTGACTGTCATCGCTTGTTTGGCAGTTATAACCTATTTATTAGTAAATAATTGGAATTGCCTTTGCTTATCGATGATCAATTAGGTGAACCATTGCTGAAGTTATTCCTTGGCTAGATTCTTAATTATCACTCATTAGATTTTAGTAATTTGTTATTTAATTTTTAGTAGTTTCTTAGATTTTATTTGAATTTATTTGATTGTCACTTTCTG